AAGCCTTGTCTGGGCCTTGTTGCCGCTGTCTAAACCCGAGCTGAGGCCACTGACGCCAGCGAGCCTCTCCCTTCCCCTCCCTTCCCTGGCCTTTCGTGGCGTGTAAGGTACCAGCCTGTGATGGTACCGAGACTCACTGTTGGTTCCTGTCTGTGATTAACTAAAATATTCCTATAAAGTCAGTTTTTGCATCGCAGTACTCTGGGTGTATTTCCAGGCTTTAATCTTTTTTTTTTTTACTTATACCATAAGGAGTAATTTGGAGTACACTTCAGGAAGAAATGCAAAACTTGCCTTGTCAATGAAAGGAGACATAAATGGAATATAATGAGGATGTATTTCAATCAAATTAGATCTAACACGATTTTATAACAAAATAAATCATATTTTTTCCACTTCACTTTTTTACAATTATTTACTCAGTTACCTTGGGCTGGGGGACTTTAATCTTCCTTGGCTTTAAAGTTGTCCTGAAGACTGGACTCATCCAGTCATTGTATCCACTTTGTTAATTTGCTTTGAGATGACAGAAGATTGAGGCTCTTCATACGTTTCTGTAGAGTTCTCGCATTCTGATCCGAGCATATATCACTTGTGCTCACAAGACAGGCATGGTTTTGTGTTACTCTCAGTGCTGACTTACAGTGGGTTGTTTTTTTCCTACATCCTAATGCAAGACTAATTTATTATGTCAAAGATTGTTCGGGGATCATTCTGACATAACTCAAAAACTGGCGTGAAGGACAAGACCTGACCTGCAATGCAGCGTTTGTTCTTTAGTAGATATTTCATGTGTAAGTTAAAAATAATTCCATTTTCTGCCTGCTTTGGGATTTACTTTAGCAGCTACCTTCTAAGAACTGACAGAAGGTTTCACAGATCTTGCTAGATCATGGTCCACGACTCAAAGCTGCATGTCGCAGTAATTTCAACACTACTAACAGAGCATGCTATGGGTAGTACCATCTTCTTTACTTGTGTCCTTTAAATAGGATCCGTCTTAGAGATCCTGGACCTTTAAGTTTTTTGTAATGTGTTATGACCCTGAGCATCAGCAACTTTAAAAGAATATGCAAGAAACAAAATGTATTATGAACTACATCTATTAGCTAAAGTGAAAGTGAAACCTGCAAGGTCATGAGCATGAGTGGAACTTTACTTTGTCTTAGCTAGATCAATTTAAATTAGACCTTTTGCTGTTAGAATACAAAAATGAGGTACTTTCAGTTGTTACAGTCAAAAAAGTGATAAATCCATAAAATACACATTCTATCATTAACATTAATATGGATATTAAAACTATTTGTGCTATATTTATTTGTTCATTGGTGAGATATGTCAAAGAGAAACTAAATTAGCTTCAGCCTAGATAGCCTAAGCCGTCTGTCATTTCTGTAAAAGTTGACCTGAATTCTGAGGGAAAACCCTCAAACTTTTGTGCCAGTCTGGTGCAGCCATGTGGAACTTCTGGTTCATTTTAGAAGTGAGGTTTTAGTGAGTTACATAATAAAGTCAGTACAAAGTAACTCTATTATTTATTCTTTGTTATATTCAGTATATGTTACATTGTGCTTATTTTTTTAGTGTGGTGCAGAATTTTATACTGGAAACAAAGAACTGTTACATTCATTTGTTCTCATGAGTAAGTTTGAGGCTACATTTGTATCAAGAAGAGCTGGAAGTACATAGTCACAAAATCTCTGTCAGTGCTACTGTGGATGGCTGCTGCCAGCTGAGACCCTTGGACTTAGGTCATCCAGAGGACTGTGCCCTCTCTGTTGCTGACTGTCAGGAAGGCAAGGACAATATTTTCATTCCCTTTCTGATCACTTCTATAATTTTCCCTTATTCTGTGTTTTATTTTATCCCTGACACAAACCTGTGTTGCCAAGTTTCAGGAGATGGGAGGGATTTGGAAGGATGTACCTTTCAAGAACCCATCAGGTCATTTAGGTACAATTCTTTATGCCCATCATGTAAGGTGATCCAACCACAAAGTGTGTGTGTCCTTGAGAAGGACTTGTAAAACAGTGTTAATAAGAGTATCATAGGAAGGTATGTTCACATCTATGCAGTATTTGGAGAAGGTGGTCTGAACATGTATTTTCGCAGTTCCTGTTTAACATTTTTGGTTACAGAAATGTAACACAGGCAGATGAGGGTGTACACAGATTCAGATTTGCTTCCATATTGTGTCTGAGAAGGAGATCTGCCAGTGTTCAGGTGCTGTCATTCAAGGAGTATAACAACACTGCAGTCACCACTGGGACTCACCTACTGCAGCTGATTATTATAGTCTTCAAACACTCCCAAGAGTCCAAATAAGCACATGGGAAACTGGTTAACTGGTTAAGCTGCTCTAGCAAAGGGGTTGGACTAGATGATCTTCAGAGGTCCCTTCCAACCCCTACCATTCTGTGATTCTGTAATGTTGAGTTGTGCTTAACTGTAGTTACAGCACTTCAAACATCCAAACTGTCTATTTTAAAGTCCACACAGCTGTATTAACTAAGCTCTGCCCTACTGGGATTGCAGTATAAACTTGTACTAATATTTCACTTACCACTTTCATGGGAATTTTTGTTACTTCAGAGCAAGAAGAAATATTTTAAAAACTCTATTTGTTTTGTTTCATGCAAAGTTGTAGTCAAGAATTTATAGTTAGGAAGAGGTTTGTTGCCAGCATGGGCAAATAATGTATTAAACTATTGTTTGCAGGCAGTGGGCTTTTCTTTTTTCTTTTTTTTTCTTTGCTTTTATTTTTCTGGGGCATCTTTTAGAATCCAGTCACTGTGTACAGTTGGCAAATGGTATTTTGAGTATGTCCCGAAAGTTTCTGTACGTTATAAAATGCAGAAATGTAGCCACTTTCTTGGCTGATCAAAATTAAGAGAGTTGTACCTTGCACTAGCAGTATTTTGAACAAAGTAGACATGTTTCTTTAGGGTGATAGCTGGTGAGTTAAATATGCAGGTGTTTCAGCAGACATTCAGTTAAAACAAACTGTGTTTCAGCTTATCTGTTCTAGTGAGCTTCCGCTAATATAGCTGTGCTGGTACAGTTACACAGGTAGTCTTTTCTGTGGAGGTGCAGTCTATTGGGAAAAAGCAGCTTTTCTGATTACGCATGGGGAAGTATAGATTGATGCTAAACAAAACTAACAAAGCTGACAACAGCACTCCCCTGCTAATGTAGCTACACTCACACCAGGAGGATTTGCTGATAAAGTTGTGTAAGCTAGGGAGTGTGCTTTTTAATGCTTATCCTTACATCGCTGTGTCAGCACCGTGCTGGGATGTAGATTCAACTGTGAGGTGTGGTTTAAACTGACTTATTCTACAAGATAACAAGACTACATTTCTCTAGGTGCATTTGTTTTTTGCTTTAATCAGTAAGGAGGGAAAAAAAACTGAATTCAGGTAAGCCACCTTCATGTTGAAGCATTAGTTTCTGCACATGTTTTTACTGCTTTACAAACTGGTAGAAGTGTTTCTGAATGTAGCACACAGGGCTTTGTATGTTGGTTGATCACTGTTTCTGTTTGGTCCTGCACATGCCTTTCTACTGAGATATTGTATCCATCCACTTTATTGTAAATATAATGGGGGAAGCAGTTCTTTAAAATAAAATTGAGTAAAGGGAGGGATGTTGCCAGGCGAACTAACCAAAGACCAGCACTCTGCACAAAAAGAGTAGTAAAAGCAGAGCCACTTATACCAGAAAAGACAACAATCAGAGGGTAGAGTACTTTGTGACACAGTAGATACTGGCAAGGTAAGATAAATGGGAGAAGTAGTCGTGTAGAACCATGAAAGAAAGAACAAAGGGATGTTACAGAAGAGGGATAGCCAGTGGCTAAATTGAAAGAGGTTAGACATGGTCCAGCAAATCACATAGTCATGACAGCTCTTTCAGTGCAGTGCAATTCTCCACAAAATGGGAGAGGTAAAAAGGAAGAAGGAATCAACATGAGAGAGTAATGATCAGGAGGAGTCATCATTGCAGACGTCATAGCATTTTGTAACTTTTTCTCTGTAAGCGGCCTTGTCTATTACACATGAATTGAAAAAGATTTTGAAAATAAGAGCAGACTTGCCAAAATACACTTACACTGATAGTGGACATGTATGGAATTGTGCACACTCACGTTCTGTGTTCAGTAACAGTGAAAGAAGACTGTGAGAAAGAAAAGAGCATAAACAAATATGTGCTGTCTCTGAGTGAATGTCTCTTCTTTCTCCTTTTAGAAGAGAGATTGATGTGAGTAGTTTTCAAAAGCTGTCATTCACTAAATTATTAGTAACAGTGCTCATGTTTACATTCCATGCATTTTTAGGTGAAGTCTTTGGGTTTATTTTTATCTGTGTCACAGCCTCAACTGACAACCTGACACCATCAGTTGGGTGTAGCCTGGAACAGTGCTCTG